GAATATTAATCAAGATTTTCTTATGACTTATGACCTCACAGATAAGCAAAAAAAAAAAAGAGAAAAAACTAGGGGAAAATGAGCGGTGCACCTTAATTTTTTGTTGACGCATTATGCCGCATTCATTCGTTTCGTTAACTGTAGAGTTCAAGATTTGATCAGCTCTGATGTCATATGGACGATATAATTGTTAGCTCGGCTTGGCTCGATATATGTATGCAGAAAACGAAGTTGGTACTGGAAACTGTTGCGCAATTTGCTCTTAAAATTAAATAGAAATAAGTCGGGAGCTCCCGACTAGAGAATACCTTGAACACTCTTATTCCGACACCAAATGTAGTTCCTGCAACGCGCTCGTTTGAAGTAACAAAGATGCATTTAAGAAAACAAAGTTCCCTTGATAGGGCTCGAATTCCCAACTAACCGCGTAACCGACCTTAATGAAATTTTCTAGAGTTTATCTTATTATACCATAGAATATTTGTGTATTCTCAAAAAGTCAATTGCATTAATATTGTGGCTTAAATTGGGTTATTAACTTGATTTATTTATAGCTTTGTGGTGGTAGTAGGAGGTGACTATAGGTTGTTTTTATATTATTTTTTTTTATGTATATTGTATTGAATCAAAAATAGTAACATTTTTATTACAACACAGGTTACTTAGGTGCTATTTCGCCAAACCTGGTTGGGTCCTCAGGCCTTATCGTGGACAAACGACAAAGTCGTCTTCTTTGAGTAAAGCTGTATCGCGGCGACGCCAGTGTTGTGGTTGGAGGAGGTTCGTAAAGGATCTCCTCTTGAGCCTCCTGACTAGAGTCCACCCAACGAGGACTCTTACTACCCGGTTACCGGATCGCTGTAAGCGTTCGTTGTATCGGTTGGCGAATGCTTCGACTTGGCAGTCTATAGTCTCCTTTTTGATATAGTCTCCTTTTTTACGAATCAACACCGGTCACTCGGCGCAAGGCAACGTTTTGGAGTATCCGTCTGGATACCGTATCTCCAAGTTGGCGCAACCAGGAACGTTGTAAACTGCCCGTTTGCAGGAAAGTGGCAATGGGCTGTCGGGGTTTAATACCCAGCTTGCCTTGGCTATCTTAAAGCGGCACTGCTTAAGAAGGCTGTGGATGTGCGCCCGAAAGGAAAGCCCCTTGTCTAGTACAATTCCAAGATACTTGGCGCTTATGCCATAGTTAAGGGGGCTGCCATCTATCCAGAGCGCTGAAGCCTTCTACGACTCAGTGACAAGTTGACCGCCTGGCTCTTCGAAGCATTGAGCTTGATGTTCCTATGAGTCCAGCTCTCAAGCAAGTGGATGTATTCCTGCGCCTTTAGTGGCTTCATACTCACAGTGCGCGGAGTGCCAAGTCGTCAGCTAATGTGGCCATCAAATGTTTGCCTGGGGTGGCAAACTCATGTAGAATATCCGGAGTGGAGATGTCTGCCGTGCACAAATTGTAGAGGGAGGGACCTAGTACGCTGCCTTGAGGGACACCCGCCTTTATATTGCGCACTGGAGAGATTGCTGTCCAGACCTTGACTGCGAACTTTTATTTCATTAGATAAAATCGCTGAAGTAGGAAGAGCGGGCGGGGAGATTCATCTTGATATTCTGGAGCAATCCATTAATCCCATTAATCCTCGGTCGAAGCGTCTACAAAGGCTCCATAGCAATAGTCTTTGTCGTCGTAAGCCTTAAGAATATGTTTAATCACTCCTTGAACCCAAATTGGTGGAAGGAAGAATGGACTTTTGATTCATAAGCCTTACAATTCGGGCAAATATCTTCATTCCCAGACCTTCGACAAGGAAGGCAGGGGACTGATCGGCCGATACGACTCAGGGTCATATTCCCGTTGGCCCGACTCATGGACTACAGGGCAGGAAAGTGTTGCATCCTTAATATGGCGTTAAAGATGGGCAGGGCCTTCAGAGTCGTGTAGCATATTACACCGTGGCCTGCTGCTTTAGCCTTGGAAAGGGCTTTGACGACGTTGATTACCTCCTAGAAACGGATTGGGCAGATAGGTAGTGACATCTGAAGCGGAGTCTCCAACGCTCGGATAGTCTTAACGAGCTCTTCTGGGGAGGCCAAAACGAGAGGTGTAAACCGTTCCTCCAGGTGGCTGGCGAAGTTATCAGCGTGCTCTTCGTCTGTAGGGCAGTATGTTCCATTCTGTCAAAAAAAGGAAACCCGTTCTCCAGGGTTGGCGCTTCAGGTTTTTAGTTGCTCGCACGAGCGAGTATCCTGAGTCATGGGTATAGTCCACGCTATCCAAGCATCTGGAGAAAGATGCGTATTTGTATCTATGAAGGGCCTTCTTAAGTTCCCACCATGTTATTCGCCACCCCGCCTTGTCACACGGATGCTGAGACGCCTGAAACTTGGAACAGCACCGCCTCTTGATCATAGGCAGGTTGGCTATATCCGCGGGCAGTCCGTTGCAAGCAATACCTAGCCGCCTGGCCACTGGAGAGGGCTGGCTTCGGCTGCGCGAGTCTTAGCGTTGAGCAGCTCAATGGCGTCCTCTACATTCAGTCCAGTGCTGATTTCGGTGTTAAGGTGAGTACTTTCACTCATCTGTCGCTGGAAGACACCGAGATGAGTGCGTGCGTTTATAAGCCTGAATCAAGCCGTGAGCAATCGGCAGTGCGATGATTGAGCCCGCATTTAACGCTTTTGTATTGCTTTTTACAAAACGTGGCTGTGTCCCCGTACGCCTAACATCTATGGCATTGCAGCACATCCTGGCTTGTTCGAGCAGTCTCCACCTTGACCACGTGCTTTCACAGCTTCCTAATGGTAAGAGCCTCCATGTTGCTGGCCGCCGGTTTCAAGTGAATGAGGTGAATGTTCATGGGCTTCTTGGTGGACTTGCTGCTCAGATTGTCCATATAGAGAGGAGTATGACCCTGGCTCCGCAGGTCGAGTGGAGTGGTAAAAGCCTTTGATGACTATGACTATTCCAGTTTCTTTATGATGGCCAGGTTGTCCAGGTCCACTACTTTAGATATTATGATCCACACGCCGTTGATGTCATCAATGTCAGTTAGGACGGTGGGGGTGGCTTCTTTCCCACAGTGGGGGCATTGTTGTTGGCCCTTTCTTCGGGCACGGAGGAGCTGGTGTAGGCATGAGCGACGGCGTTGGGATGGCTGCCGCAACCTGAGAAGTCGCTGTGGTAGGCAAATTCTCTACTTGGGCTGAACATATCTGCTTGGCCTCAGATTCATCAGTCTCCATGTCTTCATCGTTTTTAAGTGTCGCCAAGAGAGAGTTTGTATTGATAGTATGTATTTGAACTGGACTGGTGTCAGTATTGTTCTGTTTTCGCCGCGCAGTAGATGGGGACCTGCAGGCTAAGACTTTGCGCTTATCGTTATTTATTCGCCTGTTATAGAATCAGGCGAGCCGAAGCTACAGCGGGTGAATTGGGTTGATGATATCTATTATATGTACCAGGGCGTTAACGGGGTCTTCTATTCACTTTAGCACCAGAATGTGGACTGCTGCCGGGGTAGTCGGAGACCAAGTCGTGCGGCTGTTAAGCATCCTTGCGTTCATACATACGGGTAGGCGGTCAGACGGACGGTCGGACGGACAGACAGAGTTGAATTTTACAAGCACAGACGACCCTATATATAAACAAGTAAGAGGTTCTAGGTGGGAGCTTCCGACTAAGGGATAATCTGAACCCTCCTCTTCCAATATTAAATGCATATATATATTCTATTTTAGAAGCTATATGTCAAGTTTGGTGACTCTAGCTCCTGTTATTTAGCAAAATTGCCCAAAAAACAGGATATCGATATCGACTTTTATCGATTGCTTGGAAACGGACTGTGTAGCGTTTAAACAGACAACAACTAAAGCAGACATACGAATAGAAGTTTACTAATACGGGGACCTTGCCATTCAAGCCCGTACGGCGTCAAGCTGATCGCTTTCCATTGATATGTTCGTGACGACAGAGCTAACAGCTTAAATAAAGAGGGCGCCAAAAGATGACGACTTTATCAAAGCCATAGCAAGAATAAATGCTTAAAGGCGGACTCGCAATAAGTTGCTTGCTGTTCCGAAAATGATAGAACGAGCAGTGATCCAAGGGTTGCAGGAATATGGTGGTCATAGTTCAACAGCCAAAACAAAACAACAAAAGCATGGAATCAACGTTGATTGCTAACTGTATCAGTCGTATTATTATCAGTAAACAATAGAGCAAGCAAGAGGGCTATCTGTATTTCATAGATAGGGGAGAAGCTATTACATACACTCCATGTCGATCATTTGGGTCCAATGGACGCATAGCTCAGCAATACAATACCTTTTTGCAATAATGGATGGGTTTTCTATGTTTGTATAGCTTTTCACAACTAAATTAACTGGCTGTTAAGAAGTCAAGACGCTAAGCGACTGGTCGCTTGTGTTTGGCTTACCGAATCGCATAATCAGCGAAAGAGTAGATGCGCTTACATCCATCGCTTTCAGTGAGTTTCTCAACGAAAAAAAAATCAAAAATATTTGGACAAAAACAGGTGTGGCGAAACTCAATGGCCAGATATGTTTGAATCGCAAAGTATTCAGTCTATGAGTGGTAGATGTCTGCGCCGCAGGTCAAAAAAAGGCGATTAATTAGCATGTGCATGCCACGTTGTAGTCATCACCATTTGAGGTTATGTTTGCAACTAAAATGCACAGCCAAGATAAGGGTCGACTCTTGGAGGTACTCAACGAGGAGCTAGTAAGGCAATTTAAAGTCGAGTGCCAAAAGCTGCATAACTAAGTGAAATAGAACATCCTGCAGGCGATCTATAAGTATAATTATGACAAAAACGTCGAGCTGAGTTCACCTACAGATTGGGAGACCTGGTAGGGATCAAGGAAAAGCAGTTCGTCGCATGAAGTCAGTTGGCCAGCGAATATCTAGGTGCATATGAAGTTACCAAAGTCAAACGTAACTGTCAGTGTATCGCGAATGCGCAGCTTATTTTACTTACTCTATAACAATTTTAACGTTTGGAACCAATGCCGAAATTTTCATATTAGATGAATCTTTGCAGTTTTTACAGAACTCGTTTATTTCATCAGTATCTCCGGGCAAAAAGAAATCGCTTTTATCTAAAAAGTAATCAAAAAAATGAATATTACTTTTAATACCAATGCTTTGTCTTTTTAAGTTGCTCTAATAATATTTATAAAATAGTAAAATGTGTTACCCGAATTACTTTATAATAACAATAAAATATAAGTCGTAGTAGATCATTAAAAAAATAAACATTTCGATAATATATTAAAACATACACAAGAAAAAGGACGGCTAACAACCCGAAGATAATATTCCCAAAGTTTCCAACCGATTGCTTCTATAGACATACCATATGAAACAGTAAGTAGCTTGATCTAAAACGTTTTACAGATGTGTCCTGGAATAAACAAGCGTATAACTACCGATTTTATTCAACAGATCTTATCATCGATAAAATTGTAAACAGAAACCTAATTTTGTCCGATTTTTGTAACAGTTTTATTGGATATTGTGTAGTAAACATATTGAAACTAGTTTTTGCAAAGAATGGACAAGATAACCTGGAAAGGGAGTTTGCTATTCAACCGACTGTGCTCTAGTTATAGTAGTACTAGTTGGATAATAATTTGCTTATAATATTTAAACCTTACATCAATAAGTTATCTAGCAACAACTTCTTCTTCAAATTATTTGTGCTTCATTCCAACCAAATGCAGCCCACGCTACGAGCTCGTTTTCTTTAATAATAAGCAATAATAACAAATAAATTAAAAAAGGTTTGAGTCTGGTGCTACCCTAAACACCAAATGGTAAAACCTTACCTGATTGGTTGTGCCTTCTACATTGGTTTGGAAGGAAGCCTATCTTAAACCTCTTCCGATCTATAAAACACGGCACCCGGCTATACAACGTAACTCCACGTCCGGAATTTGGGTGTTAAACCACAATCACCAGAAGTGCCCCGAAGGTCCGAACCAAAAGGACAAGGACCAACTCACACTGCCACCGATTACCTCCATGAAGAGCATTTACACCTATTGCTATCGCATTCATCAGAGTGGCATCAATGTCACTCTGACCCATAATCTCTCTGACCCGCAAACGTGCACCACCATCTTTGGACAAATCCCACTGGATTTCTTACTTAACTACACCGGATATGATGCATTCTCGTCAAGACCATAGATGACCTGTACGATACTAATCAGGTGCTACATTCTAAACCAAAAATGATGTAAACGGTGCGAGGGGATCCCCGAACTGACAATACATGTTTACAACAAACACCCTGCCACGACTGCCGCAAAGGCTTCCACACACATAGCCTAGTCAGTTGAACTAAGTAAAGTGCATTCAATACTGGCATCATTCACAACAACAGAGAGAAGTTCCCCTGCTCTCAGGAAATACCGATAAGCACAGGGGGCAACCACGGTCATGTAGGGTTCCTGCCCCAGGTCAATGAAGCTGCCCCTTGCGCAAATCATTACCCCCACATCACAAATAGCTACATACGACGACCTTTGGCAATTCAACTAAAAAAATTTGCCAGACATTTTAGCGTCTAGCATTCACCCTCGGCCACAATTGCTCCGCATACGGGGAAAGCTAGATACCATCAGATATCTTAACGCGCATGAAATTGAGTGTGTACATGTATTCAGAAAATCGTAGAATTTGCGCTATTTTTCTCGAGACAGTTCTCAATTGAGAGTGATTGACGTGTATTACTTGTGCCCCAAGATTTTGATATATTTTTGCGCTTTAATCCTGCTTTTTAATTCTTAATTTTGCATTTTTGATGATTTATTTAAGAAGCTTTTATAAATTGTGGAAAGTGTTATCTGTCGTGATGCGTAAGTCTGTTAATTATTGCATTTATAAAACACGGCGTTAGTTCCGTGTTGTTGTTATTGCCTGATTTGATTCTTTTGCTTTGGTGATCCCCTGTGGATACACTTGTTTGTGCGTATGCTGGTGCATATTTCTGCTTGTACATCGCGCTCTCGCAAATTTTTGCTATTGCTTTTCGCATCAAACAATTTCCTTGTGTACGAATAATTGTTTTTTAATATCTACTTGCTCTATTTAAAGCACCGTATCCGTTTTGCTCTGCATACTACAACTTGCATACGGTTATAATAATTATGTCGTCCTGTTAGAAACCTTATACGCTCAAGCAGGCTGATAATTTTGCATTGCCGCAATTTGTTAATTGGTGGCTGTGTGAGAATATAATGCATGCTAAATGTGCAGCGCTCACTGGGCGTGTTTGCGACAAGATCGCTGCAATTGCCAAGAAGGGCTGCAGTGGCTTGCGTTGCTCGTGCCCAGAATCGACAACCAAATTGATTTTTTGCAGAATGTATATTTCTGTGAGAAATCAAATTTTAAAATTGAATAATGTGGCTAAGGACTTCTCGTGTTTTTGCCCCTCGTAGGCAAGTTTTTGTGTCTCGACTTTCGTCGGACACCACTTCTGAGTCATTGGCAGCCTACATTGCTAGCAACTCTTCTGCTAGCGTATCAAGAACCAAATTAAGTTTCTCCCACACCATTTTTTTTCTTACACAGAAAATCTATGTTACATTCTCTTATATCCCTCCTTCTTCTGATATTCAAGTTTATTTGAAACATATTACTTGTATTAAAGAAGTTTCTTCACATGTGCGTGATAATGACCTATTTGGTGTAGGTTGACTTTAACTTGCCGAACATCTCTTGGTCATTAATCACTGCCGAAAATTATCTAGTGCTCTCAGCAAAGCACGCGGTTTATAGGCTACATGCTTGATCTATCTTTGTTTCAAATCAATTCAATTTCTAATCATTTGACCTTGTATTTGTTAACGACTACTTTATTTCTAATGTGTCTCCTCCTTTATCTCTTCCTGAGGATGTCTATCATCCTACTTTAGAGATTGCACTGCTCAATTGTAATCCTTTCCTTTCGTGCTCATCAGCCAATAAGCCGCGCTGTTGCTTTTGCAAAGGAAATTATTCTTTGCTGAATCAGCTTATTTATGCAACCGATTGGTCTTTCTTATATGACTCGGTTGATATGAATACTGCCATTAATTTTTTTATTGCACCCTAAACTTCGTCTTAGATGTGTGTATTCCTAACTCAATACCTTCGACTACTTATTCAAAACCACCCTGGTTTACTGCCAGATTATCACATCTAAAATCTAAATCTAAATATTTTAAAAAGTTTAAAAAGTCTGGTTCGTGTACAGATTTGGCTAAATATTCCATAGCCAAGTCGAATATCTTTCTTCTCAATTATCAATGCTATGAGAATTACCTAACTCGTAAAGGCAATTTCCCCTAAATCCGAGACAGTCTTAGAATTTTGTAAACTTGAAGCGTAAATCTTCAAGTTTGCCATTTTCTTTCTCTCTTGGGATGGATAAAGCTAGCAATGACACTGATTCTGCAATCAACTTACTCTTCAGTCTGTCCTAATACTAATTCTTACCCTTATTCTATTTCTTCCGTTAGTTCTATACCTCCTCCCATTATTTCACACTCCTCTCTCCTATTAGCTATGAGCTTTTTAAAATCTTCTTACTCACCTGGGCCGGACAATATTCCTAGTTGTCTACTTTAGGATTGTAGTTCTCCCCTTTATCCATTGCTAAAGCTATTTAATCTATCCTTTGAAACTTCTGTCTTTCCATCTCTTTGGAAAGAATCTTTCATCATTCCGCTTCACAAGAAAGGTGGGAAGTCTGATATACATATATTCAGAGGCATTGCAAAACTGACCGCTATCCCTAAATTATTTGAAAAAATAATCACTTCGAATTTGCAGCATTTCTGCAAATCAGTTGTTTTCCCTGTTCAACATGGATTCGTAAACAATCGGTCAACCACAACCAATCTATTTGAGTTTACTTCTTTGGTAAATTATGATTTCCTTTCTTAAATGCAAACTGTCAAAATGTCATTTACACTGACTTCAGTAAGGCGTTTGACTCTGTGCACCATGACATTTTACTTTTTAAACTTGACCGAATAGGTTGCCCTCCGCCTATTGTGCTTTGGATTAATTCTTATTTAAAAGATAGGACCCAAAGAGTAATGCTGAGGCTGACTACCTCTAAACGGGTTCACGTTACTTTTGGTGTTCCTCAAGGTAGTCATCTTGGACCTTTACTCTTTTCTGTTTTTATAAATGATCTCCCCTCTGTTATATCACATGCCCGTGTAGTCATGTATGCGGACGATGTCAAACTTTTTCTATCATACATTAACCCCCTACATCATTCTCGTCTACAAGACGATTTGAGCGCTATGCAATTGAGATTTTCGGCCAATCAACTGCCTGTATGACATTTAACATGACATGTTGACATGTTTATGACATTTAATCGTACTACACCTTATCTTGTCAGTTATACAATCGACAATATCCCTTTGCAACGTATACTAACAGTTAAGGATCTAGGCGTTATTTTTGATTCTAAACTCTGTTTCAATCTTCACATAGATACCATCGTTAATGAGGCAAAAGGTGTACTTGGATTCATTAAACGATGGTCTGAAGACCTTAACGATAACTTTTATAACAAAACTTCTGTACATCTCCCTTGTTCGCTCCATCCTTGAATATTGCCTTGCATCTGGCTTCCGCAGTAAAACAATAGCCAGGATCGTATTGAATCGGTTCAGAAGCAATTTCTGATTTTTGCGTTTTTTTTTAATTGGGTCCCTAATCTTCGGTTGCCATCCTACTCCAGCAGACTGTTTCCTCTCAACTTTCCGTCGTTAACCAACCGTAGGTTCTCGGTGTTGTCCTTCTACATAAGTTGATTATTGGCGACTTAGATTCTCCCTTTCTGCTAGGGCGTCTTCAATTCTCTGTTCACAATAAACAAACCAAAAATTCTTGCACCTTATTCTACGTGCTAAACAGACTACGCTATGCACAATCCTTTTCACGTGCTATGTAAAAATTATAATAGTTTGCATCACGTTTTCTCTACCGAACTTTCTCTACCCCTAATATAGGCGTTGCTTTCAGGATACCTTCGGGAAGTCACTGACCATTCACAGCTAACAGCAGGGCTAGCTTACCAAACAGGCTG